AGGCCCACCAGGAGTGGTCTTAGGGTCAATGAATATTCAACTCACAGGATTATCATGAGCCATGCTGGGTACCAGTCTACTCAGAAAGATGTAGAACAGGGGCGCCTGGGTGGCTCAGTCGGTTGAATATGAGACTCTTGACTTCAGCTCAGGTCATGATCCCAGGGTCGTGGAATGGAGCCCCGTGTTGGGCTCCATGCTGGATATGGAGCCTGCTTGGGATTCTCTCTCTCTACCCCCTGCCTCTGCTCCTCTCTCTCCCTCTTTCTGTAAGAAAGAAAAAAAGAGAAGGAAAAATATAGGACAGGAAATGCAGCATCCCAGCATCAGGTGCTGCCCTTCTGTGAGTCCTTGCAGCAACTCAGGTGCAAAAGGACAAAATCCACCTCACATAGGTGTGGAAACCTCAATGGCTTAGAAGCTCCAAAGGAGCAGTTCCACAGCTGTAACTTCTAGAGTCCCCACAAGAAGCCCAGTTACAAGGGATGAGGGTCAATACCCTCAGGAAAGCCCATAGTGTGGCTTCTTTGTCTGGTGTTTAGTGTTCTTCTTGTCCAGGTGTACTTTGCCAGCTGGGTTACTTTCACTGTAAGCAATATCACCTAGTAACATAGTTAATGTCTTTATCTGGTTGCCAGGAGAACATACCTAGTTAATCAGAAGTCAAGTTCTCAAAAAATGTAACACACTAAAATGCTTTCACCACTCATTTACTCATTTGTCAACAAAGGAGGGGCACCTGGGTGGCTTAGTCGGTTAAGCGTCCGACTTTCGCTTAGGTCATGATCTCGCGGTTCGTGGGTTCGAGCCCCGCGTCGGGCTCTGTGCTGACTGCCAGCTCAAAGCCTGGAGCCTGTTTCAGTCTGTGACTCCCTCTCTCTCTGACCCTCCCCTGCTCCGCTGTCTCTCTCTCTCTCTCTCCTATAAATAAATAAAANAATAAATAAAAATATTAAAAAAAAAAAAAAAGGAAACACATGAGGTTGCTTGTCTACCTGTTAAATATATATATTCACATATGTATATGTATATGTTGGAGACAAGAACAGGGCACATTTCACTGTATTTACTATGCTTCTCAGCATCTGGCATGTATATAGGAATTGCCATAGGGGCACCTGGGTTGCTTACTCCATTAAGCATCCAACTCTTAGTTTCAGCTCAAGTCATGATCTTGCAGTTCATGAGCTGGAGCCCCACGTCTGGCTCTGTGCTGGCAGTGTGGAGCCGCCTGGGATTCTCTCTCCCTCTCTTTCCTCTCTCTGCATGCCCCTCACCCCACTCATGTTCGCTCTCTCTCAAAATAAATAAGCTTTAATAAAAGGAACTACCATAATTTATAGCCTCTCTTCCTTGCTTCCTTTTGCCTTAAACTGTTCCCTATATAATGTGGCACCAAGCGTAAGCTAAGTACAGGTATTGTCCTCCTGGATAACTCATCTTCTGGCATGGATCCTGTGGCCCAGCACTTCCTCTGGGACAAAGTCTCATGAGCCTGTGAGCCTGGCAAGGCCATTGTTATAATCATTGATGAGTGTTGTCCATATCTTGATTGAGGGATGGGGCAGAGGGGAGTTACACTTGGTGCCATGGGCATCTGATCATGTCCAAAAACACAGATCAGTAAGGACCTTCCAAGGCCTAGTAATGTCCCTGGAAGAATTACAGTGTGTGATTCCTGCCAGAAGAAATATCCTACAGTTCTTAGATGAAGTCTCTGGAACACTCTGTCCAAAAATGGGAAAGAAAAAGAGATTGGAGCTCTTACTGCAGATTTAAGCATCTGCCACTTGGTTTCTGTTTTTGACTACAATAGAATGTAGTTAACAGAGATTCCCCCAAATCTTACCTAGGTCCTAAATACTAGTCATACCAAGAGCTTCCCTGATTCTTTCAGTGTTCCAGCCTTCACCATGCCATGGGAGACCTCTCCAGCCCTACTTCCCTTTGGTTCCTGATTTTCCCAGTATGGAAGACTGGCCATTATGGTAAATGGGAAGTTCAAGTGCTTTGGCAATCTACAGTATCTGAAGAATAAGTGTGGAAGTGTATATATTCTACAGGCCAAAATTAAGACAGATAAACAGGTAGAAGAGCAGAAGAGATGGAAAACCTGAAGATATTCATTGAAACCACCTTTCCAGGTAATAAGGCTTAGGCATGATCCTTGCAGTTAAGCTCTTATTGATTCTTACTGTTCCCAAGCTTTTCACCCCAGTGTTGTAGAAATAAGAGATAGTAAGGCCCTCAGCAGCCCCTCTTTGTCATTATGCAATTACAATGCTTTCTTTAAAAAAAATTTTTTTTAATGTTCTATTTCTTTCTGAGAGAGACAGCATGAGCAGGGGAGGGTCAGAGAGGGAGACAAAGAATCTGAAACAGGCTCCAGGCTCTAAGCTATCAGCACAGAGCCCGGCGCAGGGCTCGAACTGACAAACCACGAGATCATGACTTGAGCTGAATTCGGACGCGTAACCGACTGAGCCACCCAGGTGCCCCTACAGTGCTTTCTAAGTGTAGAATTCGGTAGTGTTAAGTGTATTCACATTGTTGTGCAACTAATCTGCATAAATTTTTCACCTTGCAAAACTGAAACTCTACCCATCTCTTTATCTGCCTCCCCATTTCCCTCCTTCCCCAGCCACTAGCAGCCGCCATTCTACTTTCTGTCTCTATGAATTTGACTACTCTAGATACATCATATAAATGGAATCATACAGTACTTGTTTCTTTACGACTGGCTTATTTCATTTTGTATAATGTCTTCAAGGTTCATCCATGTTGTAGCAGGTCTCAGAATTTGCTTCCTTTTCGCAGCTGAATAACATTCTGTTGTACATACACATTGCATTTTGTTTATTCATTCATCCATCAGTGGACACTTAAGTTGCATCTACCTCTTGGCTACAGTGTGACCAATGTGGCTGTGAACATGGGTGTGCAAACATCTCCCCAGGATCCTGCTTTCAAATCTTTGGAATATATACTCAGAAGTGGGATTGCTGGATCATATGGCAACTCTTTTAAGTTTCTGAGGAGCCTCCATATTGTTTTCCATAGTAGCAAACCATTTTACATCCTGACCAACACTGTACAAGGATGAAACCCAATGATTCAAGGGACATTCTTACTAGAATGTTATTACCTACTACTTTTAATGTGAAAACGAAGATTCCTTCCCCTTCATGTCCAATAAAGAGAGGCCAAAAACTCAATTGCAGGGGAGAAAAACACAGTCAAGAATAAAGTGAGACAAGCACCTTTTTGCCCTGAAACTCTTCCCTGGGGCAAATCTAGGGACACAAAACTGACCTGTACGTCTTTCCAAAAATTTTCCTGTTGACGCCTCTGTGAATTTTTATGGAACAGAGACAATGGGGACATAGTCAGCAATGTCACATGTGACTAGAAAGATAAATCTGCATGCAACATGTATATATTTTTTTTAATTAGGAGCTTTGCTTTATTCCCTCTTTTGAATTGACTCTAGCCTTTGCTTTGTTTTAAAAAATACATGTGCCATGTTTCACCTTATCCCTCACAAAAAGCACTTCTTTCCATTTGTCAGACAGCTCCCTAAAGCATGAGCACCAAGGGAAGGTCCATTACCACATACTCAGTAAGGACTTTACCAGGGGAAAGGTGAGTGTGGTACCATGCTCTCCTAATATCATAGGAAGTGTCTGACCTTAGAGCCAATGGATAACACGAAGCATTCAAATTCAGGCATCTGAGAGATTTCAGACAAACCTGGCTCCGTCAGAGACCATTTCTCCTCTTCCCTTTCTTGAACTGTGTAAAGCCAGTAGTTTCTTTCCAGCTCTCACCATAGTAGTTTTATACAACATGGCTTAATCTTAAATTATTTAGGCCTCTTAGGAGTTACTCTCATAATTTGAGGGTGTAGATAGATGAGTTGTGTTTCAGCAGGTGTGAGGTTCATAAATTCGCAGTATCCTGGGAAACTGACACTAACAGGTAGACAGGCAAAACTTTTCCTCTCTAACTGGGATTTATTAGCTTCACAGGGAGTCTCCGGGTCCATGCAAGGTGGGAGTAAACAGAGCCCTTTCCTCTTCTACTCTCTACTAAGCCGGTAGTTCTCCCCACCTGTCCCTCTGAGCGCCTTTAATAACAGTAATTTCTTCTGCTGCTTTCAAGGGATTTGGTACCTTGGAGGCAATCAAAGATGAATATGGATTAGAAAATTATTTCATTAGTCAGATCATATTGGAGCAAGTATTCCTAGCCTGGCCCAAACAAATTAAAAAAAAGAAAAACAAACAAACCCAAAATTATAAAGATAATTGAATCCAAACCACCATTTGACAGGTATCAAATAACTGAAACATAGGGACAATGTCTAGACATAAATGTGTACATACATGCCTTGAGGGGTATGTGTGTTTGCATATAAAAACGTGTTCCCTTGTGGCGCCTGGGTGGCTCAGTGGGTTGAGCACCTGACTTCAGCTCAGGTCATAATCTCAGGGTTCATGAGTTCAAATCTCACATCAGTCTGTGCTGACAGCTGAGCCTGGAGCCTGCTTCAGATTCTGTGTCTCTGTCTCTCTCTGCCCCTCCCCTACTCCAACTCTCTCTCTCTCCCTCTCAGATTCTGTGTCTCTGTCTCTCTCTGCCCCTCCCCTGCTCCAACTCTCTCTCTCTCTCTCAAAAATAAATAAACATTAAAGACATATACTCCTGCTATATGCTAATTACTATATAGTGGCAGAGGCTAAACCAGCTGCTCCTAGACTTTATGACTATGCACTAGATTCACCCGGGGGGCTTTTCTTTAAAATGAAGATTCCTAGATCCCAAACCCTGTAGATTCTTATTCAATCAGAGTGATGGAGAATCCAGGAATCTGCATTTGAGCTAGTATTCCACCTAATCCTAATGCGTATTTGGCTGTGGGGCAAAAATAGGATAGGCTTCCCAGGGATTCACAAATTAAGGCTTGCAATTTTAATACCTACAAAGTCATTTTTTTTTCCTACTGCCCAGCCCCCCTCAGTGCCCACAGCCCACGGGTCAGGAAGCTGGGCAGTGGTTCAGGGCTGCGCTCCCTCTGGCATGGCTCCACTCCGAGAGGCCCATGGACATGGGCCCGCCATCAATCACCGTGCACAAAGTAATTTTTATTCTTGGGAATACCAGGTGACAACATATCTTCAGTCATGCCACCACTCAAATAAGACTTCTATTAAAGCCATAATGAATAGATGATAAACAATTTTCCTTTCTTTCCCAAACTTATACCAGTGTCAAAGCCTCCTTGCTACTTGAGTCAAAATAATTTCAAAGAGGACAGATCAGGCTGCCTTGCTTGAAGAATTTCAGATTTTTTGATATCATGAGCTCTAAACTGGACATCATAAGAATGGAGCACTGGCTGACTCCAGAATATTCTTTCTAGGTAGGGTGTGAATCCTGAGGTTCCTTCCTTTCTTGTCTTTGCAATCTTATGAAACAAGTGATCTCTCTTGGGTACTCTCCTTCATATCTGACATCAACCGAGAAAGTGCATAGCAAACTTACTCAGATGCCACATACAAGTAAGAGAAAAGTGAAGCACAGAGTTTTTAAGACAAAAGGAATGTGTATTTCTGTTTAATAAAATGCACAGATCCAAGAGAAGCAGGAGAATAAAACATTAACTAGAGGAGCTTTGATTTCAGATCCTGACCACTAAAGTGAGGTGTCAAAAATAACCATGAGCTTGGCCCCTGCACAGGGATGATATACAAATTAGTAAAGCATTCCATATTTTAAAAATTTTTACATAACCATGCCCAATTATGATTGGTAGCTACTGTAAACATTTATGAGTCATAGTTTTCTCCATTAAGGAGATTAAAATCAAAGAAGGGTTAAAATCAAAGAAAGCTAAAATGTTGATTCTGGTTGAAACTGGGCAGTAGGTAAATGGGAGTTCATTATACTGTCCCTTTAACTTCTGTTTGTCTGAAAATGTCAATAATGTTTTTTCTTTTAATCTAGTTAAGGAAGATAAAACATGAATGAACAATCAATTACAATACAAGGCAGTCAAATTCCAAGAAGGGAGAAAAAATTCCAGGCTATAGTGCTATTTGCCTGGGTAGAAATCTGACAGGAACAGGGAAGGAAATGCCAACAATCAAAATTAGGGATTAGGAGGAGCCATGATTAATGCCTATGGCTCTAACACGGCAAGATGATGTTCCCAAGTACAAGATCATACCACTTTCCTGGATATGTGGTATCCTCCTTCCTTATGATGTTTCTCCCCACCCACCCAACTCCAGCTCGAGGCAGGAAGTTAGGTTCCATGGAGTCAAATTTGACTCTACATTAAGAAAACTAACAAAACTTTTCAGCAATATACTCCTCTGGTCTTCCATGTCTATTCTCTTCTTGTCTGTTCCTTTCCTCTCCAGGGCTTGCAATGTCTCCTACACAGAAACAATTTCAAGGACCTAATTTTCTTCTGCAATAAAATTCTGAGTTGTGGCAGAAATCTGACATGAGCTAGTAAGGCAACCTGGAGAAATTTCAAGGTTTTCTGTCACATACACCCTTGTTTTTATGCTAGTCTGGGCCATGGGCATTATAAAAGAGGAAAAGAGATTTTAAAAATACATTTAAAAAGCAACACTAATAAGTAAGGAGATGTAAGCAATCTGGAAACTCATCTAAAGAATGCTCTTCTTCCCTCCCTTTTTTCTCCTTTATTTCTTATACTTTTGGTCACCCACTTTCTCCTTCTGTCTTCCATCCTTAACTCTTTTACTACTTCCCTCCATTTTGGGGGCTTACTCCTCCAAGCATTAAGTATTCAAAAGATATAGGGAGTGACAACGCAAAGGGAGAATTGGGGCTCATGGATCCAGCCTCCTCTAGCACTATAATTACATAATTAGCTGTACAACTGGTTGGGAGCTGAAGAAAAGCATGAGGTGGAAAACATACAATACCTACCAACCACACATGTTAACAATGGCATCCCATCTCAACTACACACACACACTTCCTCCTCTTATAAGCAAGTCACTGAATTACGTAGGACATTGATATGATGTGGAAGTGGTAGATCTGTCCACAAGATGGCAGTCCTACTTTGTAGTATATAACAAAAGGAAATTTGCAGTGGTACAAAATACGAATGAACTTAGAATTATATTATTTATGTAGGTGATAGCATGAATTAAATTTCAGTTCCCACCACATATGAACAGAATTTTTTACTTAGGTCACAGTTACATTTTGAGGTGTAGGTGGTGTTACATCCAAAGAATAAGGGAACATTCTAAATAGGGGTAAGTGTGTGTGTGTGTATTCCACCTAACCTGAACTGTTGGATGAAGTTCCAATGACTGGACTCTCACGAGTGCAGCTGATTTGGGGTTAATTCTTTTTTTTTTTTTTAAATATTTTTATTTATTCCTAGGAGAGAGAGAGACAGCATGAGCAGGGGAGGGTCAGAGAGAGAGGGAGTCACAGACTCCGAAACAGGCTCCAGGCTCTGAGCTGGCAGTCAGCCCAGAGCCCGACCCGGGGCTCGAACCCACGAACCGCGAGATTAGGACCTAAGCAAAAGTCGGACGCTTAACCGACTAAGCCACCCAGGCGCCCCAATTTGGGGTTAATTCTTAAAAAGCACTGGAAATAGAGGTTTATATTCCATGTTAATGAATTTGAACTTTATTCTGAAAAACATGGGGAATCATTGAAAAATTTTAAGCAGGTGGGTGACTCTATCAGAGCAATGTTTCCCCAACCTCACTCCTTGGTATAGTACCTTCATTGTTTTTGCCATAACTATTACCAGTAGTTAATTTACTCACTGTTGTTTAGGCCTACTTTTACACTTTTACAATGTATTTAAGGAGGAAACTCATTACCAGCATTACCTGATATAACAAATATCCAAAAATAAATGTACAACTATTGAAATGGAAGTGTTCATTTATAAACTTAAAATTATCTCATGCACTGCTAGTGTTAAGTCTCCCACACTTTGGGCCACTCTCCTATGTGGTATGGACTGTTAGGGGTACCTACTGAAGGCACAGATAGTGAGTGGGGTCTTAGATTTCACCTGAAATCCTGTTAGACAGCTGTAGGCATGAAGCCAGTTAGCTAGAGACTAAAGAGTTAGATATAAGTTCGTCTATGCCTTGTAAATGTCTATAGCACCACCAACCCTTCTGAAATTTCAGTGTGCATATGAATCTTGTGAAATGCAGATTCTGATTCAGTGTGCAGATTCTGCATCTCTAACTCTAAATGGTGTTAATGCTGTTTTTCCCCAACCGTGCTACAGCAGCACAGTACGAGACTGTAATTTCCTGAAGGGCAGGGGACCATGGTTCAATCTTTAGCATTGCCATGGAAGGTGACTTCATGGTTAATACTCACTGAAGAAGGGTGAACTTTCTTCCCCTGGACAATCAGAGGACTCCCAGTATGCAGGTTTCAGCTCAGAAGTACCCCCAAGACACACCCCTGATATTCAAAACATTTTAATTTTTCTCATACGAAAATTAGAGTTAAGTTTTTGTTTTCTACTTAGCCCCAGGCTAGAATATAAATTCCATGAAAGCAGAGACCTCAAATGTGACGACTGACTCAGTTTCAAAACTCAGCCCATTTGTATCTCCCGCCTGTTCTGGGAGTTAGAGCAGCGAGTTCATTGGACAAGACGTCTATTCCCAAAGAGCTAATGATCTAGTGAGGACTTTACCAAGCAAAGGACAGTCACGTCCGCCTTCGAAGCCGGTTTCTGAAAAAAAGCAGATAGGAAAAACTCCTTAAACTCCTGCTAAAAAGGAGGTGAAACGGCGCAAGCGAAGGTAAACCCAGGCACCGCGGGTGAAATCCCGGAAGGGGGCTCCCTCATTGGACAATCCGGATCGGGAAAATCCAAAGTGGCGGGGGGGGGATTGTGATGGGATATGGTAGACGTAGAGCAGGATTACAGAGTGTAATATCCGGGCCAGGACTAGAATCCAAAAAGTGGTAACATAAGTCATCTTCTGAATATTTACTTACAAAGTTATGCGTCGGCCTATCCTGCGTCTTGGAGTAATTGGACTGGCCCAACCTCCTCCAGGGAGCAGTAGAGCGCTGCCCGCATAGAGAGTCCTCTTCACGTAGAAGGCGTGGGAAAGAGTGTCGCGGGGGAAGCTGGGAAACTCCGTCGTCGGCCACCATCTTGCTTTCCTTTAAGCTGGCTGTGACCGTGAATTAGAGCAATCTTGAGCCATGAAGCTGCTAAGCAGAGCTGGGTCTTTTTCGGTGAGCACAGCCGGCGGGCTTGGGAAAAGGTTGGGGAGCAGTTTGTCAGCATGTCAGGTGATACGGACCGGAGGTACTTGGTTTGGAGTTCCGAGGCCTTGGGTTTCCGTCTGCCCTTCAACCCGAACTCTGCGGGCCAAGTGGGCTGCAAGCTGGGTGGGTCAGGCATTGGAGGTCCAGCTCGTGCTACGAGCAGAAGAGACCTAGCGCCGGAAGACCTGAAGAGGATAGGGAAAGGGCTTGAGACTGGAGGTGAAGTGACTCGGTGGAGAGACCTCTGAAGGTCACTGCTGCGCTTGGCGTGCCGGGGGAGACAGCGAGTCCTGGGGGGCTGGAGGCCGGCGAGGACCTAGCCGTCCACCCTTGCCCTGTCAGCTTCGGCCTCTGCTTCTTAGTATATCACGGAGCATCAGTTTCCCCAACGGTTAAGTTGGGCTTATGAGTAAAATGTTAAAGAGGAAGTGAGCAAATTGCCATATAGTGCTTATTACTGTGCCTGGAACTTATTATGGTGCCCTGGCAGTATAACGTGTTTTTCTTGATGTTAGAGAATTCTATGAGGGGCTCTTGGTCAGCCCTCCGGGGCTGTTTAAGACTCCTCTTTCAAGCCCAGGCAAAACAGAGCTCAAATGTCAGCTCTGCTATCACTTGTGGAACGGTGGTTATCATCGGGGGAAGTGAGGAAATTTTAAAAACCTCAGGTGGGCCAGGTTTGCCGCCAGGAAATAGTTGGCAATATCTGCATACATTTTTGGTTGTAATAACCTGTGGGGAACGCACCTGGCATCTAGAGTCTAGAGGTGCAGCAAAATATCCTGCAGTGCGCAAACACACACCTCCCCACAAC